TAGGCCTCAGCTAGAGTACTGCGTTCAGTTCTGGGCCCCACACTTTAGGAAGGATGTCAAGGCATTGGAGAGGATGCAAAGGAGATTTACCAGGATGCTACCAGGAATGAGGGACTTTAGTTATCAGGAGAGGCTAGAGAAGCTTGGATTATTCTCCTTGGAGCAGAGAAGGTTACGAGGAGACTTAATAGAAGTTTTCAAAATTATGAGGGTGGCAATGTGAACAAGGAGAAACGATTTCCACTGGCGGGTGGGTTGGTAACCTGAGGACACCAATTTAAGATAGTTGTTAAAAGAAACATAGATTTTTCATAGATTCATAGAATGTTACGGCACAGAAAGAGGCCATTCGGCCCATCGAGTCTGTGCGGCTCTTTGACAAAGCAAGTCACTTTCACTAACCCCAATCACCAGCTTTCTCCCCATAACCCTGCAAACCCGTCCTCCCCAGATACCTATCCAGTTCTCTCTTAAAAGCTGTTATCGAATCGGACTTCACTACCCTTTCAGGCAGATCATTCCAAATTCCAACAACTCGCTGAGTGAAAAAATTTCTTCTAACCTCCCCTCTGCTTCTTTTGGCAGATATCTTAAGACTGTGACCACGGGTCACAGACACACCTACCAGTGGAAACAGCTTTGCCTTATCGAGCCTGTCGAAACCTTTCATGATCTTGAAGACCTCTATCAGGTCCCCGCGTAACCTTCTCTGCTCTAATGGGAAAAGTCCTAACTTCTCCAGCCTGTCCTCATAGCTAAGGTTCCCCATTCCTAGTATCATTCTCGTGAATCTCCTCTGCACCCTTTTCAGTGCTTAATGTCCTTCCTGAAGTAAGGTGCCCAGAACTGGGCGCAGTACTCCAGCTGAGGCCTAACCAATGTTTTGTATAGATTAACCATAACCTCCCCACTCTTATACTCTATGCCCCTACTAATGAAGCTCAGTACACCAAATGCCTTTTTTACTGCCTTATCCACCTGCCCCCCTACCTTTAATGATTCGCTTACTTGAACACCCAGATCATGAGGGGAGGTGAGGAGAATTTTTTTCACACAACGAGTTGTTTGGATCTGGAAAGCGTTGCTTAAAAGGATGGTGGAAGCCAATTCAATCACAACTTTTAAGAGAGTAGTAGATAATTATTTGGGGAGGACAAGTTTGCAGGGCTATGGGGAGAGAGTGGGGGGTGTGGGATTGAATTGGACAGCTCTTTTCAAAGAGCCGGCACAGACACGATGGGCCGGATGGCCATTTTCTGTGCTGTATAATTCTATGATTCTATGAATTGTTCATGAGTCTCCATGTCAGGCGTGTGTAACAATAAATCCTTAACATATTGAATGATTGCAGTAGTTTGACTAAACTGTGTTATCACTTGAGCCATTCTTTGACGAAATATTGACAGAGAGTTATGAAATCCCTGGGGTATTGTTGGCTGTGAAAAGTAAAACAAATTTGCACTGACAACCAGGGTGTAACGGAACAACCCAAACCCATTTGATATATCAAGTACAGAAAATACTTTTGACTGAGGCGAGTACATCTGGTGCAGACACCACTGTGTGAATTATGTATTCAAATGGGACATTTAGAAATAAAATAGCCATGTATTTTAATAATATTTTCGTCATTGTAAACTATTGTGTATTGATTTAATCTCCTAGAATCTATTGTGAGTCGCCATAACCATCTGGTTTTCTAACTGCCCAAATGGGAGAATTATTAGAGATTACAATCCTTCTTAAAACTCACTGTTTCAGTAATGAATTTACAGTGGCTTGTCAGCTTCCTGAGGAAAGCAATATTCCTTCATCGGATGTGGAGGGTCTTCTCCAACGATTTTTAACCTGTCCTGCTAACTTTCCACAATCGTGTTTGTGATTTGCAAAAACAACGTTATTAGTGGTTAGTACGTTAGCAATGTTAACATTGTCATGTGTTAACATTTACTTTAAATCATACCACTCAGTTTTCTTTATTGCATAAACAGCTCCATGATCTGTTAATTTATTCCAAATGTAAGTGCCAGGTTTGGCACTTTCAACTTGCCATTATAGTTTGTTTGCAAAATCAATTATCAAATGATATTTGTCCATCAGATCTGCACCAATAATGTTTAAATTGTCTGGTGTGTTCACCAAAATACATGGCCATTTTATTTCTAAATGTCCTATTTGAAGTGGAATTGGAATTGATTCCACCGGTATTGACAATTGCCTGTAAACCCACCTAATTGAGTAACTGTTTTAGATGCAAACTGCAATTAGGGTTCGGGTTAGGTGCAAAGACACAAGTAGCTTGTTGTCATTGTGGGACATTCCTGGTCTGAGTGTAAAAAAAATAGAATGCGAAACTTGTAGTAAAAAGGAACACATTAGTCCTGATTGTAGATTCAAAATAAAATGTAAGAATTGTGGTAAAATGGGACATATGACAAAATATTGTAAACATGAACAGATAAGAGGGCTGGTTTGAATCTAAAAGACATGGTAGGACAAATGAAATCAGAGTTTGGAAAGCTTAAATGAAAGCTTTTCAAAGCCAGGCAACTGCGGCACCTGCTGTTCTTCTGATGTATAACATACAAGGAGGAGATAAGAGTTCATGAAGGGATGAATTGACAATTAGAGGTCTTCACTGAGATAATGTGCCCATTAGAAATTAATAATCATGGAAGACCATAATATTTATTATTTTTTATAAATGTATTATAAATAATAATTATGTATTCAAATAGGACATTTAGAAATAAAATGGCCATGTATTTTAATAATATTTTGGTCATTGTAAACTATTGTTATTGGACACTGGTGTCTCTCGAACTGTGATATATGAAAAAGACCCACAAAATTTGCAGTTTGCATCTACTCAACACTGAGTAGGTGAATGAACAGATAAGAGGGCTGTTATCACTGTTGCATTCACCTACAAAATACACAGTCACTGCACTATCCAGTAAAATCCTGTGAAGGGCTTTGACATCCTCCACACATATTCGGTAATAACACATGATTTGTTGTTGTTTCCTCTGTTTAATATAAAAGTGTGCACTTGGAATGTCCTCTGATCATGAAAGGTATTACACAAAATGCAATGATTATTATTATTTATTAATAATAAATAAGATGTAGTGATTGTGTGTTTTATGAGTGAATGGAACAGTCAATTTGCACACAGCAATGTCCCACAAACAGCCATGAAGTAAATAATCCATTTTATTTTGGGGGATTCTTGGCCAGATCACCAGGAGAAACTCCCTTCAAATAGAGCCATGGGAACTTTAACATCCACCTGAACAGGTAGATGGGGCCTTGGTTTAATGTCTCATCCGAAGACTGCACTACATTGCATTGGAGTGTCAGCTTCAAATATATAAGTTCCAAGTCCCAACATGGGGCTTGAATCCATACCTTCTGACTCAGGCTTAAGAATGCTGTCAACTAAACCAGGCTGACACAAAATATATGTAGTTTTGGTGGGATATTAAGTTAATTTAACAGATTTAAAATGGAGAGAGATAGTGTTACAAAATACTTCCAGTGAGAGAACGTTATCCATTCCAAGGAGGATCCTTTGGCAGATAACTGCAGAGTGGATGTCATCAAGTTCTTTTCTTTACGTGATGCTCCGAAGTAAGATTTATATAGATTTAATCCTATTACAATTTGCATGGGTTCTTCATATAACCTAACAACAAGTCGGCATTTGATGTTTCTTTTATCTCCCTTGGCTACTGTTTTAGAGATTCAAACACTTTAAATTAAAAAGTAAACCCAGAACAATCGTTTAGGATGCAATACAGTAGAACAAGCAAACATAGGTTTAGAGCTGAAAAGAGCAATTTCAGGACAAATACTAAGATTTTTTTCTTTTTCCAGCAGGAGTGGCAGAAGAGGAAGGTGTGAAGCTGGGAAGCAACAACTCTTTCAAGGACTTTGGAAAGGAAAGAGAAGTTGGAGGTGTGGCAGTAGTTTGTGAGCACGGATTAGTCCATGGAAGGTTGTTTTTAGGATAGGGGTGATACTGTTTTGGGGTGGGTGGGAATGGTGCCAGTTGACAGGGAGAGGTTGACAAGCTCTGAGAGTAAAGGGGCAAGGAAGTGGAGCAGGGAGGTAAGGAAAGGAGTAGGATTGGAGTCAAGGGAGCAGGTGGTGGGCTTCATGTGGGTTATAGTGGTGATGAGAGAGGTTCTAAGGTGTGGAGGGCGGGATGGGGAGGGGGTGGAAGTTGGGAGGGCGGAGGCAGCTGAATGGATCCCCTTTGATTTTGGTCTCGAGGAAATCTGGCATCTCCTCGCAGTTGGAGTTGGAGGAAAGGATGGGCGAGGTGTGAGAGGGTGGACGGAGGAGCTGGTTGATTGCAGAAGAGAAGCCTTGGGTTACCTTGCAATAGAAGGACGATTTAGCGGAGGCGAGGGCAGACCGGTACGTTTTTATGTGGTCCAGCCAGATCTGCCGGTGGACCGTTAAATCAGATTTGAGCCAGGTGTGTACAGTGGCACGCACCTGACCCTCGAGAGTACGGAAGTGGCTCGTGTACCAGGGTGAGGTTCATGAGTAGGAGGTGGTTCGGGAGGTGAGGGGGGCAAGGACATCGAAAACGATGGAGAGGGAGTTGTAGAGGAGAGTGACCGAGGAGGATAAGTCAGTGTGGGAGGTTGGCCAGAGGGAGAGGAGTTCAGACTCCAGGGCAGCAGAGTGGGAGTGCAGGGAGATTCTTTTCCAGCAGCGGAAAGAGATGGAGTTGGTTGTTAAAATTGCAAAATTCTCCACACAGACCTCTCCCAACACTGCAGAAACGGTCTTAACATTGAAGATTGTGGAGAATTTTGCAATTTTAATTTCAGAAAATTCTTAAATTTCGTCTTAATTTAGAAAGCCATGTTTTTAAGCAGAATTTTCATATTTAAAACAGTGGTTTTAAGACTGAGACCGTGAGAAATTTCAGAAGTTAGGACTCATCCACTCTGTGGCGATAAATCTATACAGGTTTTGTTATCTTTCTTTTATAGTTTTTAATCTCATTTGAGAAGGTTTGGAGGATACCAGACAGACATAACAATCAATGTTATATTCTGAACATGAAACCGCTGATAACTGTTCACATACATTATCACGGACTTCCACACCTCTCCCAACACTGCAGTATTCTTAGTGATGGCTTATATTGTTAACATGACTGTAGTCAGTACTATCCATGCAATTTTAACCATTTCAAGTAGAAAACCCATGGGAGGGAGTGTTACAATGTTCCATGTGTGTAGTGTTGGTGTGGTGGGTTTGTGGTATTTACAATGATAATTAGACATACCTAAACTTTCCAACAATGCAGGCATGGGCTCCATTGTGTTTCCTCTTAATTAAATTCAGAGTAGAGACATTTAATTTGGGGTTTTAATTCAATATTTCAAGGAGATTTAAGCAATAATATTATAAAGCAGCTTTTGATGTTGTGTTACATAAATGTAGCCCGTCTATGTCGCCCTTTCACAAGCCTTTTTCTTTACAACTTTCAAAGTTTTAGAACCGTGTTTTCCAATAGGAAAACACAAGACCTGCAAACTTACTTTGTTCCCAATTTATAATGAGATTTTTGTGAGTGAAAGGGTATAAATTATGGTCGCACAGCAGCCCCAACTGTAGGCAAATTTACCAGAGCCTGACTGAGATATCACCTTAAGAGAGATTTTGAGTAGCCCATCAACTTGCCCCTCTGTGCTAAGAACACAACTGGTGGAAATCAATTTGGCCTCCACTGGCACTCTGGGACACTACCCTGCGTGAGGGGCGCTATATAAATGCAAGTTGTTGTTGCCCCTTAAAAACGTTTGTATGGTCCATTCAATAAACTTCTTAGAAGATAATTTTTAATAATATTGAAGAGCTGATTGCAGTATTAAAAGAAATTGCGTAAAAACACTTTTAAAATTAGGACTGCTTTTAAAAATTTGTTAAAATCTGGATGATCTGAAACACTAAGAAGTTAGACAAAACCTATACCCGGGTGGAATTTTTCCACAATAATAACTACTTTTTGCATTAAACATAGTGAACTTTGTGCAGCAATTAAGAGTAGAATTTCCACTGAAAGCCCTGAAAAGATTAGAGAATGTAAAAATTAAAGATTATTTGTCTTTAACAAATGGACGGATTTAATTAGTCCTTTTTGCCTTTTCTTTTCAGCTTGCTTCTGCACCTTCTGAAACAATACATACAGCACTTTATGGGGATGTACAAAGCAACTGCTAAACAAAAGCACAGGAAAGCTATCACATCCAAGCTATGGTACTGGTACCACGTGAGAGAATGTGAAGCCGGGCGCAGGTGTTTAGCTCCCTTGTGACGCATTACAAACTCGATCCAGAAAACAGCTGTGTCCAAAGGCGTCATTGGCTGATCATGTTGAATTGAAGATAACCTTATTGCATTTTCTTTGTACCTAGGGGGAGGAAAAATCAGATCAAATGTATTTGCTCCACTTTTGAACCCATTTCACTTCCTCTCTCTCCCCTTCCCGGCCTCCTCAGGAACTAGCCATCTCTCAAACTGAGGACGTCTTTAATTCTTCTTGCTTACAGTATACATAAGTATCCATCCCCCACTCTGTATACTGGAAGCAAATGCTTAATAATAGAGCCTGGACTGGGGTGGGGGGGTGGTCCTAGCTGGATAAGTGGCTGGAAACCTACTTGACAGTGCTTTTAATGGCAATTTATACCTTGTTAGCTGGCTAAACTCCAGCAATACCCCAACCCAGACTTTGGGCTCTCTAAGCCTTGGTGCTACCATTGCACCTGTACAACAAGAAAGCTTGAAACATTTCTTATCGCTATCATGTGTAGAATCATAGAATATTACAGCACAGAAGGAGGCCATTCGACCTATCGTGCCCGTGCCAGCGCTTTGGAAGACCTACCCAATCAATCCCACTCCCCCGCTCTTTCCCCATATCCTTGCAAATTTTTCCTCTTTAAGCACCTATCCAATTCCCTTTTGAAAGTTGTTATTGAATCTGTTTCCACCACTGTCAGATGTACCGGCACTGCAAAGCTTAACCACAGTAGGCACCGAGGACAAGCCATGCTTGTTGACCATAATATTCATGCAAAGCACCCAGAGGACTGTGTGAAAGAGTCAGTAGAGACTTAGTTATGGAAGATAAGGAGAATGATAAAGAGGTCCCTGGCAAAAAGCCGACATTGGTAACTTGGTGCCTCGTACGAATCAGATCACGATGTTCTCAGGGTTCTGTAGAAAACAAGTTTAGGATATAAGAAAGAGGTTTTGCCAGTAATGGTTAGGAGCTGAGGGTAGCCGAACGGTCTTAGACTGTAGGAACAGAACAGTCAAGAGGGAAATCTGAAGGAAGCAGAACAGTCAGAGAATCCAACTGCAGCCTTTACACGTGTGTAGCTGATCATTTATACTTTGTAATAAAACCTTGATTCTAATAGTCTACGTTTCGAAATACATATGTTGTTCAACATCGAACGTGTAAGCCCTTCGGAGGGTAGGGGACAAGGTTGACAACCACCACTCTCTTTCAGGCAGTGCATTCCAGGATGTAGGAATTGTGTTTATTTGTCCTGAGTCCAGGTTTCTTCCTATTATTGTTCTCCTACCTTGGGTCGTTGATCACAGTGTTGAGAGCATCAACCAAATCCAGCGTTGTCATTGTGTTAAAATTCAGGACCACGGCCATTCCCTTTTCCTTCATGTGAGACATGTTGTCAGGCTGATCAGCAAATATGGGAATGCCAATCAGGGGCACCGCGTGATAAATGGCTTCGTAGATGCCATTTGTGCCACCGTGGGTGATGAATGCTCTTGTTTTCGGATGTCCTGTAATTACATGGAACCAAAACATTCCTTAACTGACATATTTACTGACATCTACAGCGTGCAGTGTATCATTATGTAGCATAGCTTGCACCACACCCCCAACAGAAGAGAACATATTGTACTTGTACTGAAAGCCAGACTTTCGCTCCAGCTGGGGGTTGTGGTGAAAGCTGATGTCATGTAACACAAGTTGCACACATTTACTGAGAAAGTTGATCTGTTCCTTTTTAAGACCTTAAGGATATAATTAAAGAAACAAAAGAAAAAACAGTGATCAACAGAATGTCTATGCAATACACAATCAAATGGTTCAGACTGTTTGCACTGCACATTAGTCATAAACTCCTGCAATATATTCACATGAGTTATTAAATAATCTGGGCATGTGTAAAGCCGTTTTTAAACTAAATTTATCAAATTGAATAATTAAACACTTCTTTTTGCTTTTACAATCATATTTTATTCCTGTATGGTTTTAAGCAAATCCATTATTCAATTTATTGCCTATGCTCCTTTGTAATCTTCTGACATGTGGTAGCTTGGAGCTTCGGCAACTCAATCACTTTTCAGTGTTTAATCTATTTTTAAATCCGCTTTTCTCTGCTCCAGAAGCCTTACGTCCTACGGGGAGAGGGGAAATAATTACTTTGCACTGCCACCCCTCTGGTAACCTGCCAAAGTTCTTGACATTTTTGACATTATACAGTGAGTTTTTGCACACTGTATGACGCTGAAGGACACACACACACACAAACACAACTGAGTGCAGTCTTGTCCTTCTCGGTTACATTGATAACAATTAATAATAATCATAATCCTTGGCTTCGATATAGCTCTTTAACCTTTACCATATCATCGAAACGCCTCAAAGAGGTTCACAGATTTACTGTAAAGTGTAGTGACTGTCTATTTATAAACAAACACAGCAGCTAATTTGCACACATCACTGTCCCACAAGGAACCAGGAAGCGAATGACCAATTTTATTTGGGGGGGATGGTTGGAGAAACCCTCTTCTCTGCTTTAAATTGTGAAGACCAAATTGGATCTTTAACATCCATATTAAGGACAGACCTTGTTTTAACGTCTCATCTGAAACACGACACCTCCGACCTCTGACAATGTACTCTCCCAAAGCCCATCCTCGCCCCGCTCCACTAACTCCCCATCTCTCCACGGCTTTGCTCCTCCCTACCTCTGTGACCTCCTAACCCTCTGCCAACCTGTCTGCTCTCTCCACTCAGCTGCCTACGATCTGCTTCATGTCTCCCACATTGTCCACCCACCACTGGCAGGCGGGCCTTCAGCCTCTCTGCCCCCACCCTCTGGAACTCCATCCCACAATCCCTCATTTCATCCCCTCCTTTGCCTCCTTCAAGTCCCGTCTTAAGACTCTCCTCTTCGACTGTATCTTCGGTCGCAGCTATCCCTACCCTCCCCGCCCTCCACCCCTCCTGCTCCCAACCAACAGCTTGGGTGCGGTTCCCTGAGTGTCCAACACCTTGGGACGTCCTACTGACGTGAAAGGCAGGCACTCTACGAATGTAACTTGTTGTTGTTGTTGTTGCACTAAGTGTCAGGCTGGACCATTAGCTCAAAACCCTCCCGACACAGGACTTGAACCCACATTCTTCTAACCCAGAAGCAAGACTGCTAATGTCTGAGCCAAGTTGACATTTTATATTATTATTAAGAAATAATAAATGTATTCTTTAGCGATTTGAAATGCTACATATGCATTCTGGTGGAAGTACTGGAATATTTTCTGAAGACCGGATCTTACCAAGCAAGTCGTTTTGAGGCAGCCAATCATACAACTTCGTGTTAGGAGCCAAGGTTTTCGGTTTTTCACCAGCATAGCGCCAAAGAACCTGTGAGACGGCACAGTTAAACACAGAGGATAGGGCTGTCACACCAATGGAAGTATTATTGTATCGACATATTAAGGGACACAACAAACAACCATACTGAATACCATGGGGTCTGATACAATAATAATGCAGTGGAATCCGCTTTAGCTGGACACCAGTTAACCTCGGACTCTGGGTATATCTGACGAAACGCTCGGCTCCGATTCATTTGTATTTTTACCTGTTTTAAACATGCTAGTTGATTCGGACAAAATTTCGGTTAATCCAGACAAAATGCGGCACTGGTCACCGCTACGTCAACTCACTCTCGCGGCTTCTGTGTCTCGAGTGGCTCCATCCAGCCACAAGCGGCTCCGGGGTGGAGATGGGAGGAGTCAAACTGTGATTAATTGACACCAGACTCCAGCCATTCACAAGCAGATCCTGTCTGGCTGTCAAATCAGTGGGGCGTGGGGCGAAGAAAGAGTCAAATCGTGATTGATTGACCGCTGAGCTGCTTGTGAATGACTGTGGAGTGCCCATCCCTTCACTGCGGCTGCAGGCTGTCAATCACCTTGAATCACTGCTAATTGGTCCCCTTCCCATCCAATGGGATTGTCAATGGGAGAGAGGAGGTGTCGCTATTCCTCCTCCACTGGGCGGTTTCACAAACAGTCATGGACTAAGGCGAACAAATTAATTATCATTTTTTTTGGAAGGGATTATTACCCATGAAAAGCATCCAATTGGCTAACAACCGGATTCCTGACCGAGTTAATTCCATGTAAAACAAGACAAACCTTTTGGGGAATCTGCCCCAGAGCAGCAGCAATGACATCAGCTCTCTCAGCTGTTAGGTTCTTAATCATTGAGCCCAGAGTGAACACCACAATACCATGCTCTCCAGAACTCTGAACAAATTCTTCCATCTCCTGTAAAAACAAAACCAGATCATAACACACGGAGGGTTCTAATAAATGCGGAAAAAAAGCATGCTTTGGTAGGGTAGTGTGAAGCACTGTCAATTCACTTTACAGTATATTCTGTGAAGTGCTTTGAGACGTCTCAAAGGCATGATAAGGCGCTATATCAAATGCAAGGATTATTATTATTATTAAATGTTATATCCGGACAAGTGAAATCCTGAGCGAGTTGTGGTGACCTTGCGTCTCAAATGTGATCATATGTCTGACCTTATAACGTTTGATATAATGATAATCCTGGCATTTTAGATATAGAACCTTATCAAAGCTCTTTACAGAATTTACTTTAAAGTGTACGAAAGTGAACAAACATCTTAAAGAAGAGGGTAATAAGTCTGTTTTACTAAGTGGTGTCAGTTTGGTTTAGTATGTAGCACTCCTGCCTTTAGATCAGTCAGAAGATTCTGGGTTGTACTTCCCATGTCAGGACTGAAGCTCATAGCTCTGGTTAAATTAGCAGTCCATACCCCAGCATAGAATTACATAACCTGCACAGCACCAAAACAAGCCGTTCGGCCCGAGTCCATACTGGATTTTATACACCTGAGACTCCACCCTTCCAAATGCCCACTCCCTGCCTCCCCCCATAGTCCTCTATTCCCATTTCCCTCATGCATACAATGAGCTTGTGCCTTGATAAATTGGCTGTGTTTCTTTCTTGTGACACATGCCATCCTGTGTCTTTTCCTGCACTAGGTTATGTGGCTGTGGAGACAGTACAGCCAGGCCTTATCCTGTCCTTGTTTGATAGGCTCACGTGTAGTATCTAACTAGATTTAATGAATCGCAATCAGGAGCAGCTCATGTTTCCTCTCTGCAGCCCAGGGAGATTTAAGCCAATTGTAGCATCTCCATCAGCAACTACATCAATTTTACATTAACATAGCACCTTTCACGTCAGGAGGACATCTCAAAGCGCTTCACAGAACCGTACCCACACGGAGCCCGAGCTGGAAGTAGTGGGAGCTGAAGAAGGGGCGGAGGTGGATGATAATCAAAACAGTCAATAAAATACGGTCTTAATGTGGGCATTAAAAGTGGAGAGGGAGGCGGCAGCAACAACAACAACAACAAGATTCCATTTATAAAGCGCCTTTCACGTCAGGAGGACGTCCCAAGGCGCTGCACAGTTGGGTCATGACCCGAGCAGGGGGGAAATGGTCAGGGGAGGGGAGAGAGCGAGGAGGGGGGAAATGGTCAGGGTGAGGGGAGGGAAGGGAGGGAGCGAGGAGGGGGAAGAGAGTCGAGAGGGGAGCTGAAGGCTCGGTCAAAGAGAAAATGCGCGATGAAGTCCAGAGAGCGGAGGCGGAATGGCTGAAAGCTCGTCCACCTTCATGACAGTAAGGCAGGTCAGGCCACACAGACTGAGATCAGCTAACAGCAGAGGTGAGGAATTGTGCTAGGACCTTTTTTGATGTATTTTGGCTCAGCAACACACCATACTTTGCATGGTTCGCTAAGTCATCAGCCATCTTTCACCTCTTTTTAAAGTGCTCTGAGACTCTACCCTATGTGCAGGACGTCATATAAGTGCAAGTTATTGTTGTTATTATTGTTATTTTGTTCAGCCTGGTGTCCGAAAGACGCGAAAACTCGTCACCATGCTTAAGGTATCCAACCTCTGGAAATTCCACAGATAGATTGTTGGAATGGAATGTCCACTCTCTCCCTGGAGGGACACATCTGGAAAGCATTAGGTGCAGGTTGGCAGGAGCCAAGGCTTGGGCATCCCAGAGTGTGCGTTGGGTACTGCTGGAGTTTAACTAGCTAAAACCGCATAGCTTGCCATTGAAAGCAATGTCTGACAAGCTTTCCTGCTGCTTGTCCAGCTAGGACCACCCTAGCCATTAGGGCTTTGGCTTTCAGGGTTAACAGGAGCTGAGTGGGATGACTCGCTGCCCCCAGTGACTGGTCTGATCCTCCAAGTCCTGCCAATGAGCCAGGCTGGCTGGGCTGTCATCAGCAGTGCCCCAGAGAACTGAGGTCCTGCCTGGCTCAGGAACCGGACTACTGAGACTGCCACAGAAGGCTGGCTCGATTCCAATATTCCGTTGCCAGACATGTCATTTTCCCCCCATTCAAACAAAACCTTCTCCCTTGAAAGATCACAAAAGCAAGTTGAGACTTGCAATGTAAGTAGGGAAGGGTGCAAAGCTTTGCTTTTTTTTTGCACGCACCTGGATTATAAAATCTTCAATCTTTTGTTGGATTGTAAATTAATGCGGAACTCTCTTGTGCCAAATCAAGGCATATTTAATTGAGGGTTCCCGAGCAGAGAGCCCAGGAGTGTTAGGAGAGAACGGAGTGAGGAGGAACAGAGTGAGAATTCTGTTTGGCAATTAGGTGAGAGTGGGAATTCGATGCAGAGGGGTAATTTGGTGAAGGTGAGAACTTGTAAAGGAGAAACAAAACCCCCAAGAGCCTGCACAACAGGTCACATTCCTGTGGTGGTAGGTGTTGAGGAGGCGTTTAGTATATAAGAAGTGTGAGCAACGGAATAAAAGGTGTGAAATTACTTGCTTTTACCTATTTACCCCGAAACTGTTTAAGATATATTACAAAACACATATGAAAACCTGGCAGGGCAGCTGAGACCCATTCCAGGCACACTGTGTGCCATGTGGGAACTCCAGGATGGTTCATGTGTTCTGGACAAATGCGTGCGCAGGAAGTGCCTCCGGCTGCTTGAGCTCAGGGTCGCTGAGCTTGAGGAGAGGCTACAGTCACCACATAGGTTACGGAGGCTGAAGAATTTATGGATTGAATTTTTCAGGAGGTGGTCACCCCACAGCCACAGAGAGTTCAGGAGGTGGTCACCCCACAGCCACAGAGAGTTCAGGAAGTGGTCACCCCACAGCCACAGAGAGTTCAGGAGGTGGTCACCCCAGCTACACAGAGGGCTCACAGAAGAAGGGTGAGTGGGTGACCATCCAACGTGGAGCAAGAAAAAGAACAGGCAGTACAGAAATCCCCTAAGAGTGCAGCACTCACAAAACGGACCTCGGTACTGGATACCAGCAAGGACGCCTCCGGCGAGAAGAGTCAAAAGGTAATAGACGTTCAGGGGGACAAGGGGAAAAACGCAAACGCTGTTGTTAACAGGGATACAACATTTGAAGGGATAGACAGGCGTTTCTGCCATAAAAGATGGGACTTGCGCATGGTATGCTGCCTCCCTGGGACCAAGGTGCATGACGTCACAGAACGGGTGCAAAATATACTACAGGGGGAAGGGGAAAATCAGGAAGTTGTGGTCCATGTCGGGCTCCATGATGTAGGTGATAAAAGCGCTGAGACCCTACAGGGAGAATATCAGAAGCTTGGAAAGAAGCTAAAGAGTAGGACCTCATTGGTGGTGACCTTGGGATTACTCCCAATGCCTTATGCAAGTGAATACCAAACCGGGAGGATCAAACACATGAATGCCTGGCTGGAGAAATGGTGCAGGAAGGAGAGCTTCAGGTTTCGAAACCACTGGGACCACTCCTGGGGCAGAGGGACCTGTACACAAGGGATGGGTTATACCTGAGCAGGGCTGGGACCAATGTTATTGCAACAAGGATAACAAGTGCTGTGGGGAAGTGTTTAAACTGATTTCGAGGGGGGATGGTGATCAGAAGGTAGCTTCAGGGAGGGGAAACGAGTTACATAGTGGACGAGGAGAGACAAATAGAAATGAAACAAGGAACAGTCCAGCAAAAAGTGGAAAGAGATGGGGGATAAATATAGAGCGGATTAAGCCGGTCTTGGAGTGCATGTGTATAAATGCACGGAACGTGACCAATAAGCTTGGTGAGCTGCGGCTCAAGTTGCCATATGGGGCTACGGTGTGGTGGCAATTATGGAGACTTGGCTCAAGCAAGGACAGGAATGGGAGCTGAATATTCTTGGCTACAACCTATTCAGGAGAGACAGGGAAGGGAAAAAAGGAGGAGGGGTGGCAATACTCATTAGAGACACGGCCACGGTCCTGGAAAAGGACGATGTGTTAGAGGGTCCAAAAACTGAATCTATTTGTTTAGAGTTACGGAGCAGAAAAGGAGCTGTTACTCCGTTAGGTATTTACTATAGACCTCCAAATAGTGGGAAGGAAATAGATGAGCAAATCTGTAAGCAGATTTCGGAGAGATGCAAAACCAATAGAGTAGTGATAATGAGGGACTTCAATTATCCTAATATGGACTGGGAAACACACAGTGTAAAGGGCAAGGCGGGAGAGGAATTACTGAAATATGTGCAAGAGAACTTTCTGGATCAGCATTTTTCCAGCCCAATAAGGAAGGAAGCAGTGCTGGATTTAGTACTGGGAAATGAAGTGGGGCAAGTGGAGCAGGTTTCAGTAGGAGAGCATCTGGATAACAGTGATAACAATATCATTAGGTTTAGAATATTTATGGAAAAGGACAACAATCAATCAAAGGTAAAGACCCTCAACTGGAAACGGGCTGATTTCAGTGAGCTAAAAAGGGACCTGGCCAAGATAGATTGGAAAGAAAGATTGGCAGGTAAGGTAGCAAACAAACAATGGGAAGCCTTCAAGGAAGAGATAGTTTGATAGTTAGATAGAAAGAGCAAATACATTCCCACAAAGGGGAACGGTAGGACAGTCAAACCTCCCTGGATGACTAAGGAAATTGGGATTACAATAAAACAGAAGAAGGAGGCTTATGACAAATGTTAGGTCCAAAACACACAGGATAATCAAATAGAATATAGGAAGTATAGAGCAGAAGTGAAAAGGGAAATAAGAGGGGCGAAGAGATTGTGCGAGAAAAGATTAGCAGGAAACATAAAAGGGATCCCTAAGGTATTTTTAAGCATATCAAAAGTAAAAGGTTAGTCAAAGGTAGGGTTTGTCCAATTAGGGACCCTAGTGGAAATCGTCTTGTTGAGGCTGATGTACTAAATAAGTGCTTTGCAACTGTCTTCACAAAAGAAGTCCTGTGGAGTCCTGTAGCTCAGTGGTTAGAGCACTCGCTTTGCAAGTGAGAGACCTGAGTTCAATTCCAGGCAGAGGGCGAAACCTTGAGCAAGTTTCCTTACTCCACACGCCTAATAATAATCTCTCCAAAACAAAACAATAATAAATTGGTCACTTTCAATCCACGACTGTTTGTGGGACATTGCTGTGCGCAATTGGCTGCCGCGTTCGCCCACAAAAATATACAGTCAATTCACTTTACAGTGTGTTCTGTGAAGCGCTTTGGGACGTCCGCCCGACGTGAAAAGCGCTATATCAAATGCAAGGATTATTATTATTATTATTATTAAGACAATGCCACAATATCTCAGGCGTGTGAACAGAAATCGGATATGATCAGAATCAAGAGAGAGGAGGTACTAAAAAGGCTGTCGGTGCTCAACATAGATAAGTCACCTGGTCTGGACGGGATGCATCCTAGGCTACTGAGGGAAGCAAAAGTGGAAATAGCGGAAGCTCTGGCCACAATCTTTCAATCCTCTTTGGACACTAGAGTGGTGCCAGAGGACTGGAAGGTTGCAAATGTTACTCCCCTGTACAAAAAGGGGCAGAAGGATAAACCTGAGAACTACAGGCCAATCAGCCTAACATCATTAGTAGGGAAACCTCTGGAGACTATAATCCAGGACAATATAAATTCTCACTTAGAAAAATATGGTTTAATAAAGGACAGTCAACAAGGATTTGTTAAAGGCAGATCGTGTCTGAAAATCCTAATAGAATTTATTGATGAAGTGACTGAGAGTGTGGATGAAGGAAGTGCAACAGATGTAGTTTATCTAGATTTTCAAAAAGGATTTGACAAAGTGCCACATAAGAGACTTATAACCAAAATAGAAGCCCACGGTATTAAAGGGACTGTGGCAACATGGATCCAGAACTGGCTAGGAGACAGAAAGCAGAGAGTGGTAGTAAATGGTTGCTTTTCTGACTGGTGTTCCTCAGGCGTCAGTATTGGGACCACTGCTCTTTCTGATCTATATTAATGATCTGGACCTAGATATAGGGAGCACAATTTCCAAATTTGCAGACGATACTAAGCTAAGAAAAGTAGTTAATGGTGAGAAGGATAGCATCAGACTCTTCATATCTGTTAAAAGAAACAGAGGGGAGGTTAGGAATTTTTTTTTCACCCAGCGCATTGCTCGGATCTGGAATGCATTACCTGAAAGGGTAGTGGAAGCCAATTCAATAACAACTTTTAAGAGAGAAGTAGATGGGTATTTGGGGAGGACAAGATTGCAGGGCTATGGAGAGGACTTAAGACAGATCGATAAAACGGGCAGAAATGTGACAGATGAGGTTTAATGTGGAGAAATGCGAAGTGTTGCATTTTGGTTGGAAGAATGAGGAGAGGCAGTTATAAGTTAGATGGTACAATCTTAAAGGGGGCAAATGAACAGAGTGACCGGGGGGTCCACATAAGCAAATCTCTGAAGGTGGCAAGACAGGTAGATAAAACTGTTAAAAAAGCATATAGGATACTACGTTTTATAAATAGGGGCATAGAATTCAAATGTCAGGAGGTTATGTTGAATATTTGTAAAATGCTGGTATGGCCTCAGTTGGAGTACTGCATTCAGTTCTGGGCACCGCACTTTAGGAAAGATGTTAGGGCATTGGAGAGTGCAAAGGAGGTTTACCAGGATGGTACCGGGAATGAAGGACCTTAGTTATGAGGAGAGATTAGTGAAACTAGAATTATTCTGCCTAGAGCAGAGAAGATTAAGAGGGGATTTAACAGAGGTTTTCAAGATCATGAGAGGATTTGATAGATTGAACCAGGAAAAACTGTTTCCACTGACATGTGGGTCAGTAACCCGAGGATACCGAATTAAGTTAGTTAAAAGAAACGGAGGGGAGGTTCAGAATTTTTTTTCACCCAGCGAGTTATTCAGATCTGGAATGCATTACCTGAAAGGGTAGAGAGAAGTAGATTATTTTTGGAGGACAAGATTGCAGGACTTTGGAGAGAAAGCGGGCCAGTGGGATTCAGTTGGATTGCTCTTTTCGGAGCTGGTGCAGACACGTTGGGCCGAATGGCCTCTTTCTGTGCTGTATGATTCTATAAATTCAATGATTCTCAAATTTGAATAAAGAACAGAAAATCTGATGACACTCAGCTATTTAACAGGGTAGTCCAACTTTCCCTCTGGCATTGGTTATTGAGTTCAAATCACTCTCTGTTCTTTCAGCAAATATTTGGTGGGATTAGGGAGTGTCAATAGGGAGTGTCAAAAGAATTATAATTACTAAATGATCCAGGAACACAGGATCATTTGTTGTTGTTTTTGATACCTTTGGAGATATTCTGTACTAGAGAACTTTTAAAATGTGATAATCGGACAGGTTTATTTACTAAAAGATGCCAGATTTAAAAAATAATCTGAGATTAGGATGAAACACATTGAGAAACACTGCATTGATAAATGCAAAATCAGACAGACTCCATTCTGCCTCAATATGGCCTAGTACCTGTTTTGCGGCTAAGACCAAGGCAAAGATTAAGGGATAGGTTAAATGTGCCTGAGAGTTTTATTTGGGATTTTATGTTGGTTTATGTGCAGGTGCATTTTCTAGCTCACCTGAGGTAAAGATTTTGCTGGCCGACAGTGTATTCCTCCTACAAATACAAAATTAGGCAGAAATGGCCGGGGATAATCGAAGTCCCAATATGTTCGAATCAGCCAAATGTCAGCTTTACCCATTGTTTCACAGAACGTCGTTGGTTCACCTTTGGAAAGAAATACAACAGATTAGAGAACAGAAACACAAGAGACAATCTGTGGCCCCAAATTAAATTTTCAAAATCAAATCTCGCTTAGAATTCTCAGGTCGCTGTGAGGACCTCAATTGTCCTACAGGATCACTGTTATCTGCTACACTTTGAAAACAGCAGTGGATCAATCCCAAGTGTGACATCTCGCTTAAAACTGGAGTCTCTTCAGCACAAACCTGCGAAGCCTTCCTGGTAACCAACAGTTTTGACATTCTCTGTAGACACTGTGTTTCATGTAAAAGCTGCACAGTGCAAACCTGTGGCATTTCTGTTTGACAACAACTTACACTTACAAAGCGCCCTTCTCGCAGGGTAGCATCTCAGAGCATTTTATTCCCTGGTCCATGTGTTAATTAGCACAAGGAACATGTTAAGAAACACTGCAAACTTTATACCGGTGAAATAATAAAAACATAAAGAATTTATTTACTTAATAATAATAATCCTTGCATTTGATATAGCACCTTCCATTTCAGGTGCTGTGCATTTATTTCAGATTATAATAATAATCCTTGAATTTGATATAGCGCCTTATCACATCTTCAAGACATCTCAAAGCACTTCATAGATACACTGTAAAGTGAATAGACTGTATATTTTGTGGGCCAAACAAAAAAAAGATTTCCAGCTTTCAAGGGTTTTAGTTTAATCACTAAAGGGCAATCCGTTATAATAGCCCTGGTAAAGCTCTTGGGATCTCACTTTAATGTCTCATCCAAAGGACAGCACCTTCAGTGAATGGGACAACCAGCACTTTTGCCCAGACAGCCATTGTGGGACGTCAATACTGATCCAAACATTATGATTCTCAAATTATTTTTTTCTTGTTTCTATTGATAACCGCCTCAAAACATTAATAACATAACATGTAGGAGCAGGAGTAGGCGCCTGCCGCGCCATTCAATTATGGCTGATCTTCTAATCTAACTCAGCTAATAACATAACCCTGCCTCATCCCCATATCCCTTAATACTTTTTACAATAAGAAATATATCTATCTCAGTCTTGAATATGTTCAAGGACTGAGCGTCAACAGCCATTTGGGGTAGCGAGTTCCATACATTCACCACCCTTTGAGTGAAAAAGTTCTGCGATAGGGCTGGCCTCTGATTTTAAGGTTGTGACCCCTGGTTTTAGTTTCTCCAACCAGGGGAAACAATCTCCCACTATCTACTCTATCATGCCCTTTGATGATCTTATAGGTTTCTATAAGATCCCCTCTAATTCTTCCATATTCTAGAGAATATAGCCCCAAATTAGTCAGCCTATCCTCGTAACTCATCTCCTTCATCCCTGGTACTAACCTTGTAAATCTACTCTGCACCCCCTCCAAGGCAAGTACATCCTTCCTTAAATAAGGAGACCAAAACGGCACACAGTATTCCAGGTGTGGTCTCACCAGGGCCCTATACAGTTGCAGCAAGACTTCCCTACTCTTATACTCTAATCCTTTCATAATGAATGCTAACATCCCGTTCTCCTTCCTAATTGCTGCTGTACCTGCAGACTAACTTTCTGTGATTGGTGTACAACACCCAAGTCCCTCTGGACGCCAACACATTCCAATCTCTCCCCTTCTAAAAAAATAACCTGCTCTAATGTTTTTGCTCCCTAGGTGGATGACTTCGCACTTCCCTACATTATACTTCATCTGCCACCTACCTGCCCAATCACCTGACCTATCTATGTCGCGCTGTCCTCTGTGTTGACACTTCCTCCTAGTTTTGTGCCATCCGCGAATTTAGATATATTAACTTCGATGTCCTCATCTAGATCGTTGATGTAGATGGTAAATAGCTGAGGCCCAAGGACTGATCCTTGTGGCACTCCACCAATCACATCCTGCCAATCTGAAAAGGACCCATTTATCCCTACTCTTTGTTTCCTACCCGTTAAACATTCCCCAATCCACGTTAATATGCTCCCCCCAATTCCGTGGGCCCCTATCTTTTGGACTAACCTTTTGTGCGGCACCTTATCGAATGCCTTCTGGAAGTCCAAATAGACCACATCCACTTATCTAGTTTACTCGATATACCCTTATCTAGTTTACTCAAAGTATCCTCAAAATTTGTAAAGCCATGTTGACTTGGCCTAATTATATTGTGCTCCCCTATATACTGCACTACCACATCCTTAATCAACGATTCTAAAAAATTTGCTATCACTGATGTGAGACTAACTCGCCTATCTTTTCCCCATCTTTTCCTTTCCACTTTTTTAAATAGTGGCGTGACATTTGCGATCTTCCAATCCATGGGGACTGTTCCAGAATCCAAGGAATTTTGGAAGATTAGACACAAGGCCTCCACTATCTCATAAGCTACCTCTTTTAAAACCCTGGGATGCAAGCCATCCGGACCAGAGGATTTGTCACTTTTTAGTGCTAACAGTTTCCCTAGCACCAATTCTCTACTAATGAAAATTGCAAAAACTGCAGGGATCCAATTTTAAAGTTTTAAAGTGAGTCCTGTAGCTCAGTGGTTAGAGCGCTCGCTTTGCGAGCGAGAGACCTGAGTTCAATTCCAGGCAGGGCCAAACTTTGGGCAAGTTTCCTTACTCCACACACCTAATAATAATCCCTCCAAAACCAAAAACAATAATAACTTGGTCATTTTCAATCTACGACTGTTTGTGGACATTGCTGTGGGCAATTGGCTGCCGCGTTCTTTCACAAATATACAGTCAATTCACTTTACAGTGTGTTCTGTGAAGCGCTTTGGGATGTCCTCCCAACGTGAAAAGCGCTATATCAAATGCAAAGATTATTATTTATTTATTTGCCACCAGCTGGGGTCTGAAACTCTGTCTGTCCAGCGCATTGGGATGTCCTCGCAACGTGAAAGGTGCTATACAAATGTAATTTTGTTGTTGTTGTTGTTATTGTCTGACTCCCAAATCTCTGTAAGTTGCAACTTTTATAATATGTCCTTGGTTTATTGTCAACCTCAGTGAGCTGCTCTTATCAGCACTGAAGCTTTCATTCACTGATCAATATATTACTATTTTCGCCCACAAAATATACAGTCAATTCACTTTACAGTCTATTCCACGAAGCGCTTTGAGACGTCTCAAATTTTGTTCCTATTCTTATACTCTCAAGCAGCATCTGGTCATTGTCCTGCATCCCCTAACTCTTGACCTTTGCTCTTGTGATTTAATTAACCCGTTCAGGAATGCTCTTAACTCAGTATTCCTCGCTCTTCCTTTCTGACCTTTGCTCTCGTCCTTCACCTAACAGGTTTCTAAAAAAAGGTGTTGACTCTTACCTTCACCTTCAGATCATTACCTTCCTCAAGATTTGCTTCTGCACACGGCGTTCATTGTGTCGGTCCCGTTCAGTGATGGGTTCTCACACATTCCTTTGCCCTCATGACTCTTCTCCTGACTCCTAATGTCCTTGTCCCAGTTTCCCTGTCCTGGCCTTGAAACTGTTTTCTGACATGTTTATTTGTTCTGGAAAATGTAACTTTGTCTAACTTCTTTGATAGCTCCATGACTATAAGCGTTGATTCATATGATTATGGGCAATGTACTCGCTGTCATTTAATAAGGAAAATGGGCAATTGATTGACCTATGAAACCCCTGAAGTCAAGAGTAAAATGGAACCTAGCGGTCAGCAGGCTGGTACAAACTGGTTTAGAGCTATCTTAACTTCGTCTAACTTCTGTGATAGCTCTAAACCAGTTGGTTAATATATAAGAATATAAATATAAGTATAAGAATAGGAACAAAATCTGAGTGAAGTTGTCTCGGATTGGGGAGGGAACAGAGGAGGAGCTCTGTGGTCACCCTTGTGAAGGGCTGACCTCTGCAACCGAAACCACAGAAACTCAAGATTGGGAAGGGCAGACTGTTAGTGAAAAGACAAACTTCTTGATTGTCCGGCAAGTCAGTACTTTGACAGAGACAGAGAGAAGAAAGGAGCAGGCAGACCAGATCATCTGGTAACTGGTATCAGTCGATACCAGGTGGGGAGAGGCATGCGGTCCAAGTTGTGGGGATCGCCAGCCGCCCAAACCAAGAAACCACCTTTCGGAGGAGAAAGGAAGAGAGACTGTTGAACGAGTAGTATGGTTTCATTGGGGGACTTAGTAGGTCATTCAAGCTGTTAATTATCTGCTGTTGCGTCACAAATTATTGATTATTTTCTGTTGTGTCACAAATTATATGAGTTATCGAATTACCTCTATTCAGGTATTTTTCCTAACAAAGTATAAGGACAAAACTAGCTACTAACGTACTCCTTGATCCATAAAATACCAAGGTGACTATCCTATTAGTGTTATACATGTATTTACGTCTGAAACTTGAGTTGACTTTACTGTACTAAAGTTGTGCTAATAAAATATTAAACATTGTGTCAAACACTCCAGTGTCTCAGTGTTTACCAATCACTCACAAAAGTTTACAGGGGTGTGTGTGTATGTGTAGAGGAAGGGGAGGATGTGTGTGTGTGTGTGTGGGGGGAGGGTGTGTGTATGTGTGAGTGTGTAGGGGTGAGCAAGTATGTGGAATCTCTACCTTCGCAATACACTGTTATACACTGGAGCTGAATATTGCCGTTTGGCATGGGGAATGTGCAACACATATTGTTTACATTTACTTTTAGAACAGATTGTTCTGATTTGATTCTATCTGGAGGTCTACTTCGGAGATAGGTTTTGCTTGTGAATGCTTCATTGCAGTTGTTGTGCTGAAGGTTATTTAAATCAAACCCACGGATGTTTACCTGATCCTTTGCAAACATTGATGTACCCCACTTGTGCTCTCTTATCCTGTGATTTCCTAAGGTGAACTTCTGACTTTACCTACTTGGGGTTAGACATTCGCTTTAGAAAAAAGGTTTGAAAAATATCACCTTGGAGTCACAAATAATGGCTCCCACTGACTACAGGCTGTAGGATCGACACTGGAAACCGTTCAGCTCAGGAACCGAGTTATTCAGAACGCCACCGAGGATTGACTTGATTCTGATATTCCATTGGAGTCAACACAGCCCCAAGGAAAGCCTACTTATCCCTTCCAACTGCCCCAAGATAGTAAGGGAATTATAGAAGTATATTAGAAGAAGTAAATATGGCTATAATAATAATAATCCTTGCATTTGAAATTGCGTCTTTGAGACGTCTCAAAGCGCTTCATAGAATATACTGTAAAGTGAATTGACTGTACATTTTGTGTGCGAAAATAGTTATATATTGAGCTGTGGCAAGGCTTCGATACAGAAGGGTACAGATTCAGGGCTGTGATAATCAAGTTTAGGGCAGACATCAGGAAGTGTTTCCTGACAAACAGGGTAATTAACAGCTGAGGAGTAAATATTTTCCCTCCTTCCCTCACTCCTTGAATTGGTACCCTTCTGTATCGAAGCCTTGCCACAGCTCAATATATAACTATTTCGCACACAAAATGTACAGTCAATTCACTTTACAGTATATTCTATGAAGCGCTTTGAGACGTCTCAAAGACGCAATTTCAAATGCAAGGATTATTATTATTATAGCCATATTTACTTCTTCTAATATACTTCTATAATTCCCTTACTATCTTGGGCAGTTGGAAGGGATAAGTAGGCTTTCCTTGGGCTGTGTTGACTCCAATGGAATATCAGAATCAAGTCAATCCTCGGTGGCGTTCTGAATAACTCGGTTCCTGAGCTGAACGGTTTCCAGTGTCGATCCCACAGCCTGTAGTCAGTGGGAGCCATTATTTGTGACTCCAAGGTGATATTTTTCAAACCTTTTTTCTAAAGCGAATGTCTAACCCCAAGTAGGTAAAGTCAGAAGTTCACCTTAGGAAATCACAGGATAAGAGAGCACAAGTGGGTACATCAATGTTTGCAAAGGATCAGGTAAACATCCGTGGGTTTGATTTAAATAACCTTCAGCACAACAACTGCAATGAAGCATTCACAAGCAAAACCTATCTCCGAAGTAGACCTCCAGATAGAATCAAATCAGAACAATCTGTTCTAAAAGTAAATGTAAACAATATGTGTTGCACATTCCCCATGCCAAACGGCAATATTCAGCTCCAGTGTATAACAGTGTATTGCGAAGGTAGAGATTCCACATACTTGCTCACCCCTACACACTCACACATACACACACCCTCCCCCCACACACACACACACATCCTCCCCTTCCTCTACACATACACACACACCCCTGTAAACTTTTGTGAGTGATTGGTAAACACTGAGACACTGGAGTGTTTGACACAATGTTTAATATTTTATTAGCACAACTTTAGTACAGTAAAGTCAACTCAAGTTTCAGACGTAAATACATGTATAACACTAATAGGATAGTCACCTTGGTATTTTATGGATCAAGGAGTACGTTAGTAGCTAGTTTTGTCCTTATACTTTGTTAGGAAAAATACCTGAATAGAGGTAATTCGATAACTCATATAATTTGTGACACAACAGAAAATAATCAATAATTTGTGACGCAACAGCAGATAATTAACAGCTTGAATGACCTACTAAGTCCCCCAATGAAACCATACTACTCGTTCAACAGTCTCTCTTCCTTTCTCCTCCGAAAGGTGGTTTCTTGGTTTGGCGGCTGGCGATCCCCACAACTTGGACCGCATGCCTCTCCCCACCTGGTATCGACTGATACCAGTTACCAGATGATCTGGTCTGCCTGCTCCTTTCTTCTCTCTGTCTCTGTCAAAGTACTGACTTGCCGGACAATCAAGAAGTTTGTCTTTTCACTAACAGTCTGCCCTTCCCAATCTTGAGTTTCTGTGGTTTCGGTTGCAGAGGTCAGCCCTTCACAAGGGTGACCACAGAGCTCCTCCTCTGTTCCCTCCCCAATCCGAGACAACTTCACTCAGATTTTGTTCCTATTCTTATACTTATATTTATATTCTTATATATTAACCAACTGGTTTAGAGCTATCACAGAAGTTAGACGAAGTTAAGATAGCTCTAAACCAGTTTGTACCAGCCTGCTGACCGCTAGGTTCCATTTTACTCTTGACTTCAGGGGTTTCATAGGTCAATCAATTGCCCATTTTCCTTATTAAATGACAGCGAGTACATTGCCCATAATCATATGAATCAACGCTTATAGTCATGGAGCTATCAAAGAAGTTAGACAAAGTTACATTTTCCAGAACAAATAAACATGTCAGAAAACAGTTTCAAGGCCAGGACAGGGAAACTGGGACAAGGACATTAGGAGTCAGGAGAAGAGTCATGAGGGCAAAGGAATGTGTGAGAACCCATCACTGAACGGGACCGACACAATGAACGCCGTGTGCAGAAGCAAATCTTGAGGAAGGTAATGATCTGAAGGTGAAGGTAAGAGTCAACACCTTTTTTTAGAAACCTGTTAGGTGAAGGACGAGAGCAAAGGTCAGAAAGGAAGAGCGAGGAATACTGAGTTAAGAGCATTCCTGAACGGGTTAATTAAATCACAAGAGCAAAGGTCAAGAGTTAGGGGATGCAGGACAATGACCAGATGCTGCTTGAGAGTATAAGAATAGGAACAAAATTTGAGACGTCTCAAAGCGCTTCGTGGAATAGACTGTAAAGTGAATTGACTGTATATTTTGTGGGCGAAAATAGTAATATATTGATCAGTGAATGAAAGCTTCAGTGTTGATAAGAGCAGCTCACTGCGGTTGATAATAAACCAAGGACACATTATAATAGTCGAAACTTGCAGAGATTTTGGAATCAGACAATAACAACAACAACAACAAAATTACATTTGTATAGCACCTTTCACGTTGCGAGGACATCCCAATGCGCTGGACAGACAGAGTTTCAGACCCCAGCTGGTGGCAAATAAATAAATAATAATCTTTGCATTTGATATAGCGCTTTTCACGTTGGAGGACATCCCAAAGCGCTTCACAGAACACACTGTAAAGTGAATTGACTGTATATTTGTGAAAGAACGCGGCAGCCAATTGCCCACAGCAATGTCCACAAACAGTCGTAGATTGAAAATGACCAAGTTATTATTGTTTTTGGTTTTGGAGGGATTATTATTAGGTGTGTGGAGTAAGGAAACTTGCCCAAAGTTTGGCCCTGCCTGGAATTGAACTCAGGTCTCTCGCTCGCAAAGCGAGCGCTCTAACCACTGAGCTACAGGACTCACTTTAAAACTTTAAAATTGGATCCCTGCAGTTTTTGCAATTTTCATTAGTAGAGAATTGGTGCTAGGGAAACTGTTAGCACTAAAAAGTGACAAATCCTCTGGTCCGGATGGCTTGCATCCCAGGGTTTTAAAAGAGGTAGCTTATGAGATAGTGGAGGCCTTGTGTCTAATCTTCCAAAATTCCTTGGATTCTGGAACAGTCCCCATGGATTGGAAGATCGCAAATGTCACGCCACTATTTAAAAAAGTGGAAAGGAAAAGATGGGGAAAAGATAGGCAGTTAGTCTCACATCAGTGATAGCAAATTTTTAGAATCGTTGATTAAGGATGTGGTAGTGCAGTATATAGGGGAGCACAATA